CACCGCTCAAAGCCAGAGCGCCTCATAGACTACCCGTACGCGCAGCAACTGTTTGCCTCGGAGCGCTACGTCCTGTCGAGTCTTGGGGCCTCTTCCGCGGCGGAGACGATGCGACATTTCACACCGCTTCTGATGCAGCCGCAAACGCATATGCCCGCGGGCGTGCAAGGCCCATTAGCATCGCTGCTCCTCGGGGGGAAAGGTGGGAATGTCAATCTGGCCGCCCCGCACGCGAACCTGCGCGTGAGCGCCGCTTTTCTGGAAAAAGACATTGCCGCAATGCTTCAACGCATTCAGCAGCAGAAAAAACGCGCCGACCCGCTGTTTGTGATGGCCATAGCGCAGTACGCAGCGGAGTTGTTTGCGAACACCGCTGTTGTGTACCGCACGACAGCTTCACTCACGCACGAGGATGACAGCGCACCGCGCGACTGGCTGCTCACGCAGGCCTTTTGTGCCGATTCAAGCGCACGTCGCGCGACGATTCTTTGTGAATGGGACCTGTCAAGCGCGGCGCGAAAGGCCATTGGCAAAGCTGCCGACCTCAACGGCTGCACGACGCACCCTGTAGAGCTCATGAACGCAGAGCCCGCTCGGAAGCCAAAGGTACCGTCCAAAAGTGCTGCGGCGAGTATGACGCAAGAGGCGAACTAACGAGAGAATAAGAAAAGGCGGCGCTGGAGGCTTTGATGGGTTCAGCGTGGAGGTTAAGAAAGAGAGGGAGGGAGGGAGGGAGGGGTCAGTGTAGCCGGTGAATCTCCTTGCAGCCGCCTTTAGCGTGAGGAGCGGACCCCGTTTGTTTCCCGCCACGCCTATCATTAATAACACTAACAATAAATTTCAAAATAATTTCCCGTTTCATGGGAGGGGAGCGGGGGAAGACTGATGAGAATAAGAGGAACAAGAAGAAGAAAGGAACAGAGGCGGTAATGTGAGGCGTATGTGTGCGTGGATGTGAATTTGTTTCTGCTTTGCGTCCCCATTTCTTTGTGTTTATGAACTGCGTCGAAGCGAACTTTTCCTTCTTTACCGGCACTGCAGGGAGGAGAAAGAAGAAGAGGAGGAGGAGGAGGAGAATTATATTTATTTCTTCTTCAAAAAAAAAAAAAAAGTGGCATGCGTGAAGCCAAAATTGAGTCTTGTGTGCGAGCAGTGCCATCGTTATCGTCGTCGCCCCGCAGTGATGGTGGTGGTGGTGGTGGTGGCGGGTACACAGCAGCCGAGGAGCTCGCCGCGCAGATCGTTGATTGTGCGAGCCTTTTGACATGCGTGAACGCCGAGGATGCCGTACGGTCCATCCAGCCGCTCTCTCCGAGGGGCCGCACCGTGACGGCATGTGTCTCGTGGCACACAACAGCAGCAGCACCAGATGATGTACGCTCCGTGAAGGTGCGCTTCAGTTACAGCGAGGCCTTTACATGCCGCACAAATTCCGGTAGTGATCACGCCTACGAGTCGCTGATGGCATTACTGGTGGCAAACGGCTGCGGTGCCGCGGACGCTGTAAGAGGGCTGGTATTGTGAGGGAGTTGGTGCGATGCAAAGAAGGAGAAAATGAGGCAAAGCAAGGAGACATTTGTGTGTGTGTGTGTGTGTGTGTGTGGTGGTGGTGGCTTCCAGTACCACTAATGTAGCCGCCGAGAGTGATGGCAATGGCAGAGCCCGTGTTGCTGGTGTAACTCTTTTTGCCTCTTTTCCCGCTTCCGTTTTTGATCTGCAATGACGGATGTGTACATTCCAGTGAAGTGTGTTTGTCGTTGTTGTTAGCGTGCTGTCAATGGTCGTTCTTGTCGCGTATCTTCTTGTCCTCGCGGTCGCTGCGTTCGTGACGTTCCGCGTCTTTGGCAGCAACCGCAGCGGGTTGGCGCCGGGGGGCCGTGGCTGCGGCGTCGACTTTTTCTTCCCGGAGGGACGCCAGAGGCGAAGACCACTGGAAGCGCTTCTTCCCTCCGTCGATGCCCAGCAGGCGGAGATGTTGTCATTTCTGCAGGAAACGTGCTGTGCGCTTCCCGTACGTGCGGAGTCGGTGCGCATCCTGCCGAGCCCAAAACATTTTTTTGAGGAGCTGCAGAAACGCGTGCATGCGGCCAAACGCCGTATCATTATTTCCGCCCTTTACATTGGCGATGGCCCACTCGCGCGGCAGTTTGTTGCGTGTCTTGAAGACAAAGTTGCAGAAATGGCGCGGTCGGGGCAGCCGCTTGACGTTTGTCTCCTCCTCGACTACAACCGCATGCACGACCGCCACAACCTCCTCACACTGAAGCAGCTGCTCACCCTCGCCCACAGCACAAGCGGTAGTGCCACCGGAATTGACAACCAGGCGATGGTGCGGGTGCGTTTGTTTCTTTTCCAAACACCATGTCGATGGAACCGACTGTTTGCACCCTTCGGCCGTGCAAAGGAGGCACTTGGCGTACAACACACGAAAATATTCTGCTTTGATGACCGTGACACCATTTTGAGTGGCGCAAACCTCTCGGATGACTACTTCTCTACGCGTATGGACCGTTATGTAGTGATTGAGGACAACGTGCATGTCGCCGCATGGTTCTCAGACCTTGCCCATACTCTTTGCCTTATGTCGCATTGCGTTGTGTGCCATGGGGAGGCTTTGACTGGCCATAATGCTACCAATAGTAATAATAATAATAATAATAATAATAATAATAATAATAGTAATATTGGTGATGTGAATAGCAATAGCCGCAAGATGAGGAACAGGAGCAATGGCTACACGGTACACAAGAAGAGTGAACTGGTTATTCTTCCCAACGCTCTGGGGATTGATCCATCACTGGAGAGCGCCGCCTTTAGTGCGCGGGCCAAGCAGTTGCTGGAGGAGTTTGCCGCCAGAGCTGTGGCAGCATCGGAGTTATTCTCACCGGAGGAGGAGGAGAAGGAAGAGTATGACACATTTCTTTTCCCAACCTTGCAGTTTGCACGAGCAAATATCTTCCATGATTCTCTCGTTGTGCAGCAACTGCTTCACAAGGCCCCGGCATCGACACGTATATTTTTTACCTCGCCTTACCTCAACATGTATGCTCCGTTTGTGGACGAGATGTTGGCCAGTGAAACGAAATATGATTTTATTACGGCAAGCGTCAATACGAACGGGTGGCGTGGGGCAAAAGGCCTTGCGGGGTACATTCCGTACTTTTATCTTCAGCTCGAGCGGGCCTTTTACTTCTTGATGCGGGAGTACGGCTGCTCTGACCGGGTGCGGGTGCGGGAGTTTAGTGTTGATGGACTCACGTTTCACGCGAAGGGCGTGTGGTTTGTCGAGAGCGAAGACGGCACCAGCGAGCACACGGAGATGCCGACCAAAGGTGGCCGCAGCAGGATGCATGCTTCCAGTGACGCCTGCGCCAAAACGCGTGAGGCGGAGGAGAAGGGCATCAAGGCGCCGTACCTCGTCGCGTACGGGAGCACAAATTACGGCTACCGCTCGGTGCATAAAGACGTGGAGGCGGAGGTGTTTCTCTTTACCGCGAACAAAACCCTTCGCGAGGCACTCCGCGACGAACTTCTGTTCATCCTGCATCAGTCGACGCTCGTGACGGAGGAACGTTTTGTGCGTGGCGCGCAAGGCCGTTTTCAGCCCGTTGTCTCGCTGCTCGCACAGATGGGACAAGACTTTTTTTGAGCTGGTGACCACGAGGATCTCCCTTATTTTTTTTTTTTTTTTTTTCTCTTTCTTTACGCATCTTCGGAGAAACACACACACGCACGCACGCACACGTGTATCCGCAGACCGACAAGCTGACAGGCGGCGTGGGGATTTTGTTGTTGTTGTTTTTTTTTTTTTTTTTTTTTTTCCTTTTTTACATGCCCCTCATTTGGATGCGTCGTGTTGTTGGGGGAGGGGACGTCTCCCGCCTCCCTCTCTCTCTCTCTCTCTCTCCCTCTGCTTCCTTACGCCTCTTCATTGCCTTCCATCTCTCACAGGTACTTAGAGCGACGGGGGGTGGAAAACCGTTAGATTAAAAAAGGGAGAAAAAACGAATCCAGAAGGATATTTATATTTATATTTATATAGTTTACAAAAGAATACGAAAAGAAGAATTCAACTGTCGAAATCATATTTATTTATTTATTGATTGATTTCAGTTTATTTTATTATTATTATTTTTTCTTTCTTTTTTCTTTTTTTCGATGCCGGAGACCACACACGTGACGAATGATGCCGCGGTGCCACAGAAGCACATTGTGGAAAAGCCTCATTTAATGGATTTATTCCGCAGCTCGGCTTCCTTTGCAAAAATTATTGCTTATTTGCAGGGATGTTCAGACTCCGTCAATGGGACACCGCGAAGTGCGAGAATGGTGCAGAAGGCATCGGAGCTTCATCCGACAGTCCGCTTCTTCGTCGAGACGTTTTTCCCGCACCTTCACAAGATTGTTGAGGAAGTGCCGCTGCAGGACATGAAAAAACAGCGCTTTGGCAATAGGGCATTCCGTGTCTTTCACGAGCGTCTTGAAGCAGATGTTGGCGGGCTGATGCAGCAGCTGGTGTTAACACTGCCAGCGAGGTCGGGTGAGAGAAGTGAGGAGGAGCAGCGCTGTCTTGCCGTGGAACTGGCAGAGTACATTAAAGACTCCTTTGGTAACAGTACCCGCATCGACTACGGTACGGGACACGAACTGCACTTTTTCGTTGTTATTATGATATGCCTGGAGGAATGCGGTGATGCTGGCGGCACGCTGCAGGCGGAGCCGACGACAATTGTCTCGCTCAACTTCCCACAGCCAGCGCCGGTTCTGGTGGATAAAAGAGACCGTGTTTGCCGACTGCGACAGGGCATGGTGTTCGATGTGTTTGGCGCCTACCTCACCTTCATGCGGCGGCTGCAGAAGCACTACCATCTGGAGCCCGCGGGATCGCACGGGGTGTGGGGGCTTGACGACTATCACCACCTCCCCTTCATATTCGGTGCTGCGCAGCTGATCGGAAAGGAGGTGCCACACAAGACCGACGACAGCGGCAATGGAAAGGGGTACGGCGCCATCCTGCCCAAACACGTCTGTGAGGAAAACGCTGTCCGACTACACGCGGATGAATACTTTTACTTTGCCCAAGTTGCCTGGGTGCGGGAGAATAAGACAGGCCCCTTTTTTGAGCACAGCAGCATGTTGTACAACATCAGTGGCGTGGAAAGCTGGCAGAAGATATATACCGGCATGGTAAAAATGTACGCCGCGGAGGTTTTGTCAAAGTTCAACGTTGTGCAGCATCTCCTGTTCGGCACCCATTTGCCGTGGCCGCCGGATGTGTAGTTGTGGGCTCTTTTTACCCTCCTTTTTTTTTTTTTCCTTCTTTCTTTCTTGTTTTTTTTTTTTTTTTTTAGTTGCCGTTTGTTTTGGTTCTTGATGTCTCTCTGAAATGTGCGCATTTTCTTCTCTCCCCCACCCGCAGGGAGGTGTGGGTGGTGTTGTTGTTCCTCCCCCCCCTGATGCTGCGGGTGCTCTGCTCCTCTTTTTCTTTTTTTTTTTTTTCTTTTTGCCGCGGCCATGTGGAGGGTGTTATCCCCCCGGCTGAGGTGCGTGGACCGGGTGGAATACGGCGACTGTAGCGCAGCACACATCATCTTTTATTTGTTGCAACAGCCGATACCGGGCTGTTGGCTGCCATCCATTTCTATTCTCGTGGCGCTGGTGATTATTATTGCGCCAATAGAGAGAGAGGGGGGGGGGAAGGATAGAGGGAGAGAGAAGGTAGAAAAAATAATAATAAAAGGAATTTTCTTAACGGGGTGTGTGCATGACGTCCGTCTACCGTGATCCCGTCTCGCAGCTGGCCATCGTGCCACCGGAGGCGATGGAGCGTGAGGCTCGCGACGCCCTTCACCGCCTGTTGTCGCTCTCATTGAACGGCAATGGAGTTATCCCCGTCATTGTTTACTACGCACACGTCACACGACGCACGCGGCGCGGCAAAAGTATTCCATGTTACCTGCTTCTTTCGCGCAGCCACTGGTACATCTTCAAGCCTTGCGGGAAGATTTCACGCTGTTGCCGCATCGATTGCATCGCCAAAGTGATTATCTGCCGTGACAATTACGTTGTCTGGAAGATCTTGGAGGGGCGAGATGTTGTGATGCGCTTAGGTGACGCTAAAGAGATAGCCTTTGTAACAAACATCTTGCGCATCCTCAGCGTCTCTGTTGATGGTCGTCATCTCCTTGTGGTGGAGAATAACGGGGAGGACCACACGAAGCTCCATGGGGCGGACAAGCCACAGCTTGAGCGAACGGGAAATGAAGAGGGTGAGTGGCCGCTGCCTGTCGTATCAGCTGTTGAGGCACAGCAGCAGTGCACCGTGGAGAACTTCTTGGTGATGATGCCACCACCACCGTCGTCACAGCCGTCGCAGTCAAAGTCGGAGTTGGACGCGGAGGGCACATGGCGGAATTCACGTGTAAAAGACATTATAAGTTACATGGACGGCCACGTGGAGATTCCTCCCGTGCCTGTTGCTCCGGAGGCCGTTGTCGCTCACGCCGGTGAGAGTTATTCTAACGCGGGCTTCTCCGACGCGCGGCGGGCGGAGGCCGTGATTCCGCCGTCCGTGAACTCACCGACAGCTCCCTCCACGGCGGTTCCTTCAACGATACGACGTATTCAGCCGGTGTCGAACGGCAACACGGAAAAGCAGCAGCTGATTTCACCCTCGCCACACGACTCATCCGGGGAATTCATGCAGGAGGCTGTTGCGTCACGCCCTCCACCACCAGCCCTGCCGCCGCCTTTCATACACCTGCTGGATACAGAAGGTGGTGGTAGCCCGGAAGTACGGTTGGCATTAGAGAAGCTGCGCTATATGGAGAGCCGCGTCACCTCCTTGGAGCGTGAGAATGCATCGCTGCGACGATCTCGGGCACACGGTGACCTGGAGTCTCAGCCCCCGCAACGAACCCTCAAGGAGGCAAACGACTCTCTCCGAACGCCATCCCCGCTGCCTTCAAGCTCTTTTATCCGTCTGGCCCCACCGCCTCGCATTTCATCGCAACAGGAAAATTTCAGCGCAAGTGCCGCCGATTTTGAGCGGTGCGTTGCAGCTAAGACAGTTGAGGAACGTCTTTTGCTGCGTGGCTATGAGATAGAGCTCAAACTCCAGCAGGTGTCGTCGTACATGCAAGCCGCCGACGCGCAGCACCTGACGCACGTGACTAGCCTGCAGGAGGACTTGTTGCACCTTCTGCGGGCACAGCGGGCTGACGAAGAGCTGGGAATGACAAAACGGAAAGGACCCAACAGCGTTGATATTTCGAGACCCAAGGCCCAAACAACAAGCCGCGATTTGCTGGACGAGGATGACAATGTTGATAACGAGGAAAAAGAGGAAGAGGGTGTTGGGCTAGACGATTACGATGTGTGGGCGGCGACGGATGAAGGGAAAGAATGGTACAACGATTACTTTGGCGAGCATCTAGCCGCATGCAGGGGAAAAATGGTGCGGAATGCCTTTAGACACACTAAAACATATTTGTGAGGCATGACGGGTGTTGTTTTTGTCATCATTATTTGTCTCCGATGCATCGTTCATAATTATCCAGTGGATTGGCTTAATTTTTTACATGCAATTGTTTCTATTTTATAAACTCCGCATTTTATTTGGGATTTCATGTGAACATTTAATACCCACATTCATATCTGTTTGCACTCACCCACCCTCTCCTCCCATATATATGTATATGGTGGATTGTTTTAAGAACTCTTTCTTTGTTGTTGTTGTTGTTGTTGTTGTTGTTGTTGTTGTTGTTTCTTCTCTCTCTATCCGCATTATCAACGCCCGTCACGGAGCCAGAAAGATTAGACAGACGGAGTGGGCGCGGGAGCGATGCCGCTTAAATTTGCCCCGAAAGCTTTAAACCCTGAAGATTCGATGCGGCTTGCGGTTGTCCACATGCTGCGGCATGATAACGCTGTCATTCTACAAACGTTTACCGGCAACCGCGGCAGCAGTGCGACTCGTCACGGAAGGCTGCTGCGATTTATGCCGCATTTTCCGTTTTGCCCAACAGAAAAGACAGGAGAGACGGCAGAAGAGGCGCCGCATCTTGTGGAAATAGCGCCGTTGCAACTGCCGTACTGGGCACGCGGATCCTCAAGGGAGACTATGTGGCCTGCGGCTCGGACACCGGAGGCGGTACATCCGTCACCACCACATTTCCCGCATTTTCTTGCGGAGAGGTCGTCTTCTTTGTTCGTCTCCATCTCGCTGCCACATTTTGACCTGCCGCTTGTATTTGCATCGCCGCGTCGTGAGCAGCGATGCTCGCGGGATTGCCGGGCTGAGTGGTTACCTCGGGCAGTGATGGACAGAGATGTCGCTGCGACGTGGGACGAGATGCTGTCGGCGTTCTGCGCTGCGTGGAGCGCCGCGGTGCGAATAGAAAAAACTCCATTCGCGTTGCTTCCGCCGTCGCTCTCGCATCCGCTTCTGGCGGAGCAGCCGCTGGGAGAGGGACGTGTGCCGCTTCAGGACGAGCCGGCAGCGTCATTTCGTCTGGATCCCATCGTCGTTCCACGCCGCAAGTTGGACCGACAACGAAGTGAACGCATGCTTCCACCCATTCTGGCGGTTGATGTTGCGGGCAAATGGAACGACACTCCGTCGGTATTCAAATCACAGGAGGCCGCCCTGCAGCGTCGGTTTCTCGCAGTGGCACGGACGCTGGAACGCACAACAGCTGCGCCGTCTCGCCCGTTGATTGTGGCGTCAGTTGAAACGCCTCTGACAAGCGATGCCGCAGGCGAGTGTGAGCGTCTCGAGTTGGCCAGTGTTGTCGTCCCCCCGTTTATGTGCACACAGAGAATGAAGGCTGGACGCCCGTGGCGAGAGGGGGGCCACGCTGGCGGGCGGGACACTCTCGTGCAAGAACATTCTGAATCGCTCTTTTCACGAATGCCTCCCTGCATGACGCGCGCCACGGAGCTGCGATTTCCCGACGGGAAACACATGCGGCAGACCTTGACGCTGCGGAATACCGCAAAGGAACGTCTGGAAAAATTATGTGGTTTGCGTCCACCCCGACGTCATCGACAAAAAATGGCTGAATGCTTTTCTACGAGCAAATTCTCCATTGCGCGAAGTCGTGAACTCGCCGCCGCTGCACTGTTACCCTCAACGGTGCTGTCAGCCGCATCGCGCGTGAAGCCGCCGCATTGCTCTGAGAGGAAGAGGAGGCGTGGAGATGTTCCTCCGCCACCGCCACCACTGCAACTGTTGCCACATGTGCGCGCTACAGCCGTCTTTGCCTTTTCCTCGTGGCAGCCATTAACATTGGAGGAGGAGGAGGAGGAAAACAATGACACCTGCTGCGAGGAAGAATTAAAGATTGCTCCCTGGCGTGTGTTTCCGCGAGAAGTCGAACTGCAAAGCTTCCAGCAGCTGCTTGAGCGTAGGATAGAGCGGAATGGCAAAGCGATGCGTGTGGGGAATGACGATGAGGAGGAGAAGTGGTACCATGCCGCCTTTGTGCATGACGTTAATACCATGCCGCTGCCGTACAGGGAGGTTTCTGATCTTGTTGAAGATGCGAGGTTACATTACTGTTATCGGCTGGCGCTGCATCGAGAAAAGCGGCGTCTTGGCCTTTGATATTTTGTCTAACGGTGTACTTGCGCTCGTGTCGCGATTGAGAGCGTGTGTGTGTGTGTGTCTTTTTTGTTTTTTTTTTTTTTCGTAGTTTTTTTGCTTACCACAGAGAGAAATAAAGGGGTTGGAGAAGGAGAGGAAAAAGGAGGAATGTGTTGATGAAATACTTTTTTTTTTTTTTTTTTTTTTTTTTATGCGGGGGCTGTTGTCGTTATCTCTTGTACAGAGACAGAAACAGATACAGAATGACAGAAAGACGTGTGTGTGTGTGTGTGTGTGTGTGTGTGTGGAAATAGATCTGACGCTTTTCTCCCTTCTTTCTCCTTGTGTGGATGGAGTGGATGCCGCGGCTCACGTGCAAACTGACCTCTTGTGGAATGGCGAGGTTAATTTCTCTTTTTTTTTCTTCCCATTTCCTTTTTTCTCCCTGTTGTTGAAGTGCGGGTGTGAGTTTGTTCTGTAAAATATTGCTGGACGAAAAAAGAACAAAAGCCCAGAAGGTTGCAGCGGTGGGAGGGGGGGAGGGGGGGGACGAGGAATTATTCCCGGAAGAAGAAACAAAAGAAGGGCGTGTGGGGGCACTTTGCGTGCATGCAACGTGACTGCGGGGACCTCTTGGTAGGAATCACGGTTTTTTTCCCCTCCCCACCCAACACGGCGGCATGCTGAATGAATACCGCATTCTGGAGAAAATGGCGACGGGGAGCTTTGGGGTCGTTTTCAAGGTTCGCCGCGTGGCGGACAACGAGGTTCTTGTCATGAAGCGTATCTCCCTCACTGAGATGGACGTGAAGCAGCGCAGGGAGGCGGCGCAGGAGATACGAGTGATGAGCTGCCTGCACCACCCCTTCATCGTCGCACAGCGAGATGCGTTTCTCTTCAAAGACAGTCTTTGCATCGTGATGGATTACTACGACGGCGGCGATCTTGCGGCCCTCATCACACGGCAGCGCGAGAAGGACGAGTACCTGCCGATGGGACAAGTGATGGTGTGGTTTGCTGGAATAAACCTGGCGATGCACTACCTGCACGCCCAGGGCATCGTCCACCGTGACCTCAAGACCCAGAATCTCTTCCTGAAGTCGAACAGAAGGGAGGTGGCCGTGGGTGATTTTGGCGTAGCGGAGTTTGTAGGTAAGGCGGAGTTTAGTAAAACGAAGAGTCCTTTTTCGTCACCACTGTTGCCCGCCTCGCAACACTTTCTTGCGAAGCGGCGCGACGGTGAACTTATTGGGGACGTCAGCACATGCGATAGTGCCGATGATATTATGAACGGCCCTTTGATTGGGGCGGTACGGGGGACGTTGCTGTACATGGCGCCGGAGGTGCTTGAGAGTGGCGTTTGTAGTCCCAGCTCAGATGTCTGGTCGCTTGGGTGTATATTCTACGAACTGCTGAGTCTTCGTCACCCATTTGAGTCGCGCGACTTTGCAACTCTGATGATGCGGGTGATGGCGGGGGCACGGCAGCCACCGCCAGGGCACTACCCTCCCGAGGTTGTGCAGTTACTTGACCGAATGCTCTCCCTGGACGCGGCGAATCGGCCAAGTTGCGAAGAAATCCTTCGCGCCCCTATTATGAAAGCCTACTTGCAGCAAATTATTCTTCAACGGGCGTCATGTGAGCCAACCGAGTTGGAAGCTGAGCGCACATGGGAAGCACAAATGCAAAGGCTTTGTATTTGCGAAAATGCCTCTTCCCCGCGTTTACCTTATCCCTCGGAAAAATGCCCAACGATGTCGCCATCGCAGGAACGTGCGCTGGTGGAGCAAATCACCGCCGCATCGCCGCGGACAGAAATGCCGTTGTCGCCAGGCACTTCAACATTTGGTGAAGACGCCAGCCCAATGCGGCTGCACCCGGACCATGCTCATACTGCGCAGTCGCTTTCCAAGGACGGTAGTTTCACAGTGGGAAGGAGAAAGGATGACGATGGTGATGGTGACGGTCACCTTTGTCCCACATGGAGGTCAGGCGACGGCAACGTGGATGACATGCGTCATATGCCGCTGGAACTTATTGAAGAGGAAGTGGCGCGCTACCGACGACTAGTGCAGAGCGAGATGCGGGAGCAAAAGCGACAGCGAGATGCCGAGGTGCATAAAAGACGGTTTGGTGGAGACTGCACACCCACAGCGCATTATTACAACAGCCTCGCACGGGTGAGCCATGTGGCCACCACAGCCTCTACTAACCCTCACTCACATAAGAAGGGAAAGAGCAACGGGCCTTCGCTTTCATCGTCGCCGCCGCCCCTGCCTTCTCATGGCTGGAAAAATGCGAACAGCTTCAATGGCGCTGCGGCAAAGTGGCCACCAGGAAGTCTTGAGGCCTCATTGGCGGCGCGGCGGCGGCAACGTATTGAGATGGCGATAGGAACTTTAGGTGATGACGTGTTTTCTTCCGTGTACAACTATTACAGAAGCGTAGAGGTGGCGGAGCGGGATGTGTCGTTAGTAATGCAGATGGTGCCAAATCGCAACTGGTGGCACGTGTTGCCTTTAGTTGAGGAGGTTGTTGTCATTGAGCGTCTGCTGGAACGTCTAGAGGCAACCGGTACTTGATGGTCGTTGTGTCTTATGGCGGATGTTTCACTCGCAGACCTTCTTCTTTCTTCGTGCGCGTGTCCCTTATATATCCTTAAGAAAGGGGGGAGGCTGAGTGAGTGATGGGAGGAGGGAGCCGACTGGGAATAATGAACCCCTCGCCCCATGCCAATTTCTTTTGTGTTTGTTCCCAGTGATGCTTGCACGAAGTCAGTCTTTTTTTTTTTTCTTTGTGTGTGTGTTTGTTTCTCTCTGCCTGTGATTGATTTCCGTTACTGGTGGCTGTGGTGTGTCTGTTGCGGCGCTGATGCCGCCCGCATGCGTCTGTGTGCTGCATCTTTGCTGGAGTCGTTGTTTTATTTCCCTCCTTCCCACTTTATTGAGCGTAGTGCACTGGAGTTTTCGGTTTTTGGGGAGATGACGGACTTTGCCGCATTCCGCGAGTTCCAGGCGCGCTCTTCCATCATCGCGGAGAGGGAGCGCGCTGTCGACCTCCGCCGCAAGCTCCTGCAGGAGCTCACGCAAAACGTCCAGCAGCTCACAGAGGAATGCAAGCGGCGGGACGAGCAGCTGCAGCAGGAGCGTCTCCGCTTCGCTCAGCGCAAGGCCGCGCAGGATGAAAAGGTGAATGCGAAGGAGGCGCAGGGGCAGGCGCAGCGCGAGCGTGTCGCCGCGTTGGATGTCGAGGAGACACGTCTGCGCACGGCCATTGCGGAGCGTGAGGAAGAGATGCAGCGGGTGCACGAGGAATTGGCGCAGCGGCAGTCGCTGACCTCAAAGCTGCGGGAGGCAAAGGAGGGACTCACGAACCTCAAATGTCAACTGGAGGAGTGGGACGCGAAGGTGATGAAGTTAGAGACACGCATTGCGAAGATGGAAATGGTCGTAGAGAAGCGGCACAACGTCATTGCGGAGCGGCTGCCAAAATACGACATGCCGCGTATAGAAGCAGATCGCGGAAACAATCTTGAGGAAACTGCGGGTGAGAGTATTCTTCTCATCGATGAGTTTAATCCGTGAGATCGAGAGAGAATGAGAAGAAAAAAAAAAAAAGAAGGAGGGAGCGGGTGTTCGTCAGATTTTACTTCTTGTTTTTTTTTTTATGAAAGTTACGCGCGTCTTGCTTAGAAATGTATACATGCATACATATTTGCATATATAATTAGAAGTTATTGTACGTACATTGGACTCATGAGGCATTTTTTTTTTAGATCTATTTGTTTATATTGCAGAGTGTCTCTCTCCCTCTGTGTGTGTGTGTGTGTGTGTGTCGCCACGCAATCGGGAATGGACGGTGTTCAAGATGGGGTGGGGTGCATTTGTTTTGCCTTTGACCTCAATATCGCCTGCATATCCATTCTCACTCAGTTCTTGACTCTTATCATGCCTCTTGCCTCTCAATATTACCCGTTCCCCCTCTCAATGCCACAAGGTCTGTGGGCGGTACAGCGCCGGGCTGCGGCGTGTCAATTTTAATTAGCAGCAGACAAAAAAAAAAAAAAAGGAAAAGGAAGGCAGAGGGAGAAGAGACAAGCGGTCTCGTTCCGGCTACCGACGATGGCGAGGCCCGAGGAGGATGAGCCACCGCCGTTGGGTCCCAGCGTCTTTGCGGTGACGGTGCTACCGGACGACATGCCTGGCGTGTTTCAATTGCGCCTCGTTGACAACCGTGGGGACCACACGACGATCGTCGCCCAAGTGCAGCGACGCTGGCAGGATTTTGTGCAGCTCGACCAGCTGGTGCGGTCCATGGCGCCGAAGTTTGACGCGCCACCGCCCGATGCGTGGAAACGCTCCTCGCAGGAGAAGGATACGGACGAAAAGGGAAAAGGGAGACAGAAGCAGCAGCAGGAGTACATGCAGGAATACCTTTCCACGGCCATCGCCTTCCCCACGCTGAGCCTCCTGAAGGATTTACAGAACTTTATCGGCTACAGTGATTTTGTGCGGCAGGTACGGCAGCAAGTTGCGGATCGTCAGACGACATCCGTCAAACTGCGCCACGTGTCGCCGTCTTCTCCATCCCTCCCCGTCGCGGTGTCAAAGAAATCACCAAACCGCCGTCTTCTCTCCTCACCCACATCCGATGGCGATGGCGGTGCCAGCAAAATGGATGGCCGCATTAACAAAAGGGATGTTACTGACGATGCGAAGAGGGCAGAAAATAAACCCGAGCACAGCGATCGCTACTTTCTGCCGCCAGAGGGACATCACATGCTAGAGGAATGTTTCCGCATCATGGACGCTGGTGCCGCCGGGTATATCACGCCAGAGGACATGAAAGAGTTCTTCATGTGCGTCGATGCGGGCGGTGGTGACATTCTTCGACTGGGGAAGGATGAAGCATGTAACTGTGAGCACTTTGTCGCCACCGTTGAACGTGCGCTGTGCAATGGGGGGCCCACGCACACCGTTGAGGAGTGGGTGGATCGCTACTGGCTGTTGCAGTATCGCAAAATTTTCATGGCCGTTGCCGGGCTTCTCAGCTGGAGAGGCGAGGCGACGCCACCCGACTTCGAGCCAACCCATCCGTTTGACAAGTTCGAGCTTGCCTCCCTGATGTATATTCTCACCGAGGCCGGCCTACGCCTTGTGAGTGCAGAGGAGGTGGTGAATTGGGTGCGCTGCGGAAGACATCAACGAGGCTGCGCCCTCACGATGGAGGAGTTATCCGCCCTGTTAGACACGTTGACAAAGGCAGTGCCCTTCTCCGAGGTGTGGCTCGCCCTCATGCCCCACCACGGCAGCCAGCAAAAGATACTGCGGATCACCGCGACATACGCCTCTGTTGCTGACAACACGGTGGTGGAAGAGATACGCGAGCTTGTCATACAACTGCGGCGGGCGGCACCAACAGAAGAATTGTGCGTCAATTGCCACCGCCTCGAGGAAAGTCTTCAGCAGCAGGCCGCGCGGCTTACGGAGTCCGAGGCGGCGCGAGAGAATCTGCTGGTCCATGTGCGTTACTTAGAAAAGCGTCTGGAGGAGCGGCAGGAGGCCCTCGCGCAGCTGCAGCAGGAGTACCAGCACGCGCAGACGTTGTTAGACGATGCCGAACTTCGTGACGTGGAGTTGAGCGTAGCAGCGGAAGATGCGAGGCGAGATTGCTTGGCAAATGCGCCCAGAGGCGAGGCGGGGTCCAGTCTCGTTGCCGCTTCGCCTCCCCTCCTACAACTCATGCCGTGCGGTAGCGTCGCCCAGCACGCCGCACCTCTGATGCCGTCTTGTTCGAACTCTCCGCCGCCCATTTTGAGCATCTGTGGGGCTGTTACGTATACGCTCCCAGAAGAGTTGTCGCTGCCGTCCGAATGGAGCGTGGATGTTTTTTGGTGCGACACGACATGCGGCAGCCGAAACAAAACAGAGCGACTTGTCTTCCGTGACGCCGATGGGCAACGTAGTTGCGCCTTTCTCTTCAAGAACAACGAGTTGCACGTCATGGCGCAGCGAAAGGGGACGACGAGTGACGATAACGACGCATCATCGTTCCGCCTCGCTCCACGGCGTTGGTACCGCCTGCGTTGTTTCCTCGATTGGCGGGAGAAAATTTTTTCCGTGACGCTCGTGGAAGGCGGCGGCGGGAATAATGCGGGGTGTTTGAAGAAGACGGTGCCGCCGTTGTTGTCATGCGGGCCATTCGCGATGGTGGATGAGCATGTGCGTGGTGTCACCGTTGTGGATATATTTCCGCGGACGGTGCTGTTGGTGAGTTACTGCAACTTCTTTCTGCGTTACTTTGGCTGACGAAAAGAAGAAGGAGACGAAGAGAAGAGGGGCTGAGAGAAAAGAGGGTGCGGGTGAATGAGTGATGGTGGCGGCATGCCGACTGGTGGGCATAATTTAATTTATTTTATTATTTATTTTGTTGTTGTTACATCTTTACATGTTTGTGTCTGTCTGTCTGTGTGTGTGTGTGTGTGTGTGTGTGTGTGACCTCCGTCTTTGCGTATGCCTCGTTTTTTGTTTGTTTGTTTGGTTTTGTTTTGGTTTTTGTTTTGTTTCATTCTTCTCGTGTCCCTTTTTGTTTTTTTTTTTTTTTGTTTTTTTTGTTTTTTTGTTACGCCAACAAAAAAGGGGCTGAAGGAGAGGGAGCACAGGCTTTCCGGTTGACAGCATCACGGTGAATCATAGTTGTTAGTAGCGGCAGGAGAGGAGGGAAAGTAAAACATATTTATTTACATCATATATATATATACATAATATATATATATATACTTCCGTGTATACATACATACATATCAGAAACAAAGGGGCGAGAGTGGCGTGTCCGTGAGGGGAAGAGGTGACGTGGCACCCTGACATCACTTGTGTGTTGTTTCTGTTCTCCGCTTCCTTCACGGGGAGGGGTTCTGCCGCCGCCTTTATTTGTTATTGTTGTTTTTTCATCACCGTTTGAATTTCTCCCATTTGTGGGTGGGTGTTGCTTTCGCCCCCTCTGCACGTCTTGTTGGATCGTTCCGAAGAGACAACTGAGAGGGGCGGGAGAGAGAGAGAGAGACGAAATCAGCCGAAAAGGACGGACTGACTGACTGGCGGTGGTAGTGGAGAAGGAAATAAGTACACATTCACCGCTGCACGCCGTGTGAAGGAATTGGAAGCGCTTGGCACGCCACCCGGGCGAGGCAGACACACGCAGGCGTAGTAGCATCATTATTATTATTTATTATTATTGCACCGTTCATTTACCACGCGGATACGCCGCATATTCTTTTTCCCTTTCCCCCCTCCACGAGACCGAATCTGACGTGTGGGCGACGACGCGCGTGATCGCTGGCGGACACGCAAATCCAAACAAGAAGGCGTTGTAGTGAAACAAAGGAGTGAGAGTAAAAGAGAGGGAAATAGAGAGGGGGGGAGACGGTGTATATATACATATATATTGCGTGAAGAGTAAAGTAAAGGAACGAAAAGAGGGAGTAGCATCCATCCATTCACCTCTATACGACTATTTACAGATATTAGAGATACATTCTTGCATTGCATTACGGTCGATCAGGCAGGCCACTGCCGTTGCCACACGGAAGGAAGGAAGAAGAAGAAATAAAAACGAGGCGAGGAGGAATAAGCCGTGAGGATGGGCATGGATCACTACAGGATTGTAAAACAACTGGGCGGGACGACGGCGACGTACCTGGCTGTAGACAAGCAAGATGAGGGAAAGAAGGTGGTCATCAAGCGTTTGATGGATGGAACACAAGGCGTGCAGGAGTTGAACGTGTCGTTGCGGGTGCAGCACCCAAATATCATACCTTTTTTGGAGTCGTTCGTGCACGACAGGGCGCTCTACGTTGTGCTCGCGTACGCAGAGGGCGGTGACCTCGAGGCATACTTGGAGGAACTGCAGCGTGAGAAAAAGCCGCTGCAGCAGGTACTTCTGTTGCGTTGGTTTGAGCAACTTCTTCGGGCGTTGCAGTGCTGTCATGGGCAGAATATCATGCACCGGGATGTGAAGCCCAGCAACATCTTCCTCAACGCGGACGCGACGGAATTGTACCTCGGTGACTTTGGTTCCGCCAAGGCGCTTCTGCGCTCCGCCTCGCTGACCTCCACCTTCGTCGGCACACCATTCTGGATTTCGCCGGAGCTGCTGATGGGGACGCCGTACAGCTTCCCCTCCGATGTCTGGTCGCTCGGTTGTGTCTTTTACGAGATGGTGGCGCTGCGGCGGCCGTTTGCCCCAACTAGTTTTGCGAGCCTCGTGCAGCAGATCACGTCGGGTGACATCGCCCCGTTGCCGGCGTCCACTCCGGAGGACATACGCGCCATCGTCGTGTCCATGCTTAACGTGAACCCGGCAAGACGGTGCGGCCTCGAGAAGGCGTTGGAGATGACGGAGCGGGCCATTCATGCCCGCACGTGCGCAGCGGCAAAAAGCGCGACGGAGCGGGTGAGGATTGAGAGGCCCCCGCCGCCGAATATCCCCAGACGCGCCGCGGGGGCGAGTCCAAATAAACACCAGCCACCGCAGCCACCCCGACGGCCGTCCCCAGTGGAGGAGACCTCCCCCACGGAAATTCGTAGAGGCATGATGGATGTGGTGGTGGTGGAGCGGAAACTAGCGGACTGGATTCACGCACGCAACCACGATGTGAACATCATCGAGCGCTACCTCACGAAGTTCCGCCAGTCCGATGAACAGGTCCTGGCAACAACAGCAACCAACTCCTCATTAGTGGACGCCCAGCGCGACCGGCAACGTGATCGAGATCGTGGACGGTGCGTCGCGGTGTCGCCCCCCAAAATAACGACACCTCCGCGCAGGGAGACGCAGGAAGACGACCCCCATTCAAAGCCAGGCCCCGAGCGCGAGGTGCGGGCGCAGGAGGCAACCCAACAGCCAGCGCAGAGCAAACCAGCTGTCCGGCCACGGCGCCGCATTATGAGCACGAAAATTAATGCGGCAAAAAGGGAGCAAAATGGCAATCATGTAAACAGGAACGTGTCACCTTTAGCCCGTGAGCCATCCATCTTGAACAGTCTAAACGGAAATGTTTCTCAGGCATTCAGACGACTCAGGAGCGCCGCGTCGGTGGCACGATGGAATTCCCCTCCCGCGCCGTCCCCACAGCAGGAGGAGGAACGGCAGATGAACCGCGAAAAACGCGAAAGGGAACGTGCAAAAATGCTTGAAATGATTCGGGAACGAAAGGCGAAGGCGATACAAGAACGCAAGGCAAAAGGCAAAAGTGAAGGCCGGGATGCTGTGGCAGTGGAGATCGTCCTGCCCGACAATGTGCGTTATGTTGGAAGCCCGGTTTAAGGGAGAGAAGGATGTACACCCCAGGTGCCCTCTCCGTCCGTAACTTGCGCCGCCATCATCATCAATCACCTGGTTGCAGTCATTATGGATGTTGCTTATGATAGCCAATCGTGATGGCCATTCGCGCCGGATTGGGACTCATTGTTGTTGTGTTTTTGTTGTTGTTTTTATTGTTGTTGCTGTTGACCTCTCCTTTTGTTTGTTTGTTTGTTTGCGTCTTTTTCCTTCACCGCCTCCCGGCGAAAACGGCAACGAAGAAACGAGCAGACACATAAATCTATGTGAATAATATATACATTCACACACGCAACCGCCGACACCGCACAAACACGTACCAAAGATAAGATACAAAACAACCACACACACAAGCATGGCCCCGCGTTTGCGGCACGGGAAGCCAATTCGCTCGCGAGCAGTCCGGGAGTGCGTGTATACGTGTCCTGTCGTGCCGTGCCGTGATTTGCCGCGAAAAAAAAGAGGAAAATGAATAGAAAAAACATTAAACCCAATGAGGCGCCCACGACGACCGACGGGCGCGCAAAAGGCGGCACCGTTTGTGGAAAAGGGGTGGAAGCACGCCCCCGCCCGGATAATGCGCCTGTTTTTCCCCGTTTGCGGTTGTAGCTGCTAAGAAAGCCTTCCCTTACGCACGTCACGCGCCCGAAGCACACAAACAAAAAGGAAAGGCGCATGAAAACACAGGCGCCGCGGAAAATCGCCCCCGCCACGGTACCCTTCGGCCCCGAAGCGGGGATTTGGCGAACAACGAGGTCCCCGCTCCGCCCATTGGACGACAGCACAGTCCTTGGACAGGGCGATGTCGGGACGCTGAACTGCCTTGTCGCTCGGCGTATCTTGTGCACTCACCACCGTTGACGACCTGAAGCACATGCTCAATGCACCGCTGCACAATGGTATCGCCACGGGAGTCTGATGGGATGCTGCGATCCCAAGCCTCCGTATGTGCGTCGACGTCTGCACCCATTAGTTGCGGCCCGTCCGCGCAGAGCAGCCCATCCAATTCCCCGGCTGCCATACTCTTTGTACAGGAGGGAGGGAGACACACCGACAAAGCCTCCAGTTTCATTCCTGCCTCTGAACGGATGGTCGCCTGCGCCAGCTCGATCCCGGCGGCAGGGCCGGTCCCGCTTCCACCCGTGGCCCCTCACAGACAAGAATGGCCACACCGCCGCCTCGACAGGTGCAAGCAGTCCCGCAGTGCTGGAACCCTGGAAGGCTGAAACTAGTGTCCTCTGGGTGGGGAACATCCTCGCCCCACCCATCACACAATAAAATACATTCTCGCCTTGCAACGCCATGCTCAGCGACAGCCGTTTCGCCACAGCGAGGCTGGCAGCGTCCCGCACAGCGCAGGGAGCCGCCGCAAGCCCGCCCCCACCCACGTGTCCACCCGCCGTCTGTTGCTCGCCCGCCCGCGCAGCAGCCGTGAAGATCCCTCCAGCCGGCGGACTCGGCACCACACTCGCCAGCTCGCGGTCGCTCCCACCGCGGCACCTGCCATTGGCGTGCAACCGTCACCCGGCCCGCACACCATCGCGCCGCACCTACTCTTCGCACACGGCTACGCAAGAACACGCACGGGAAAAAGAGAGGAAAGGCCGCATCATCAACAAGCAGGGGGCGTGAGCCATTGGCGTTGCCGCGCCGCAGGGAACGAATCAAGGGGCGGGCGAAGAAGCAAAAATAAAATATATTGAAAACATTTCTTGCCGCCATCAGTTCCCTGATTCCCCTACGTCGTGAGCTTCCCAAAATGCATAAGATAGAGAAGAGTCGTAGAGAAATATATATTCTTATTATCAGGACATATATTGATTTGGGCAGCCAGCTATCCACGCAAACATTCATTTCACAAGCCCATAAAAAAAACACGCTGAACCCCATCCATCCACCAATCGCACAACTAAAAAAAAAAAGGATAATAGCAAAAACAAACCTACATACATCTTTCCTTGGCGGCCCGGCCCACACACGCACATACTCACCACGTGCTCCCAGCAGAAGCGCTCCCGCAGCACAACGCAACGGGCTCCCACTGGCTCCACCACCACGTCCTGCACGCGGGTCAAGGACAGGGAGTGGCACGCTCCGCAGGGGCACGGGGCGGCCGGTGACACATTCCACGTCGTTCGGCCACAGAGCACACAGAACACAAACCAAGACGAAGCAAATAATTAGGATACACATTAATATTTAACTCGCTCAAAAAAAAAAAAGAAACCGCATCTCCTTCAATCTTTAATCACACCAAGGGTATATCACGTCCTCCGAATACTGCCATAGATGGGCAACAGGCGACGTGTCGTTGCCGAAGCGCGCCATCAGTGCTGCGTAGTCGTCCTCCCGTACGTGATGAACACACATCGAGGTAGGCACAACCTGCGAGTGCCCTGTGCGATTGCGGGCGTCATGGAAATGACAATCCAGCACCTTGACGTATACCAGCGGCTTGTAATTCACCACCTTTTCAAGAACCCAAGCAACCATGACGTCTTCGTGCTGAAACCGCAGCAGGGCAAATTCGTCATAGCGTTCCTCGCTGTACGGCAGGTACGCCAGGCGCCGCAGCGGTTTGAACGACACCAACGCCTCCGCCACATCTCTCGACATCGTGTAACACCAGCCCATCATATACGTGCTACCCGGTAAGCCCTTTTTCCCAAAATGGGAGCTACCAATTTGGAACCCCATGTAGACCCCTCGGCGCGGCAGGAGGCGCAGGTGAGCAACGAACAACGGCACACGGAGAAAAATATCGTCATCGCCTTTCGAAATGTACCTCGCGGTCGGAAACAGACGATGAGCAAGGTCAAACCACATGTACGTCTTGCGAGTCGCGCCAATCTCCGCCTCTTCGCTCCACGTGCCACCGCCACCAATTGTTTTGTTTGTCGCCACGCGGCCCTCATTCATCGGCAGCGCGACCACATCCTGCCACTGCGCCGCCTCCTCCAGCAGCGCGGCAGAGTAGTCATAGCCGTGCGACGGGTGCCGCCCAAGAACGTACAGCACGAGCATCGCACCGGTGAAGTCGTTCGCCCTCGTCGCCACACCGGGGAACCGCCAGCACGTCGTCCGCTGCAAGTTGCGTCGTGTTCGCCTCTCTTCGACGTCCGTGGAGGGGATGCCCAGCACAACAAGGTACTCCCGCCGGCTCCACGTGTCCACAACACTGCGTGGGATGTGAGCAAGTGCTGCATCTTCCGCGGCAGTGACGCGCGAGTGGCGGAGGTTGTTGGGCTCCGGCGCCCCATCATCGGCAGCGGTGTCGAACCTGAGGGTCAGAACAGTCGTGGCCACAATGAAGGGAATCAGCAGCACAGTAGCCCGCTTCAGCTTCTGTCTGAGCGTCAGCAGTTTCGGTTTCGCCATGGTCGCTGTTGGTGTGAGAGACTAAGCAATAGAAAAAAAGGGGCGGAGAGAGTGTGGGAGCGGCAGGCGAAAATCAGAAACGCCACGGCCACGCGGCGCCACGCAGCCACGCAAGTGCGCGGAGGCCCGCCAGCCAACCTGCCGCGCCACCCGGATCCGGGACGGTGCGGATGAAGGGGTCAAGGCGGCGGAGCAGCCGGCAGCACGCGCCCCCCCGCCGAGCAACGGCGGAGAGAGGGAGAGGAAGAGAGGCCGCGGAAACAGGGGCAAGCAGCGCCAGGGAAACAGCGAGGGTTGGGGGCAGGGCCGCCGCGGCAGCAAAGTGGGCAGCGCCACAAGCACACAGGAGGCACGGGGGCCCACCGCAAGGGCTCGTCCGGCGCCTGGGGGACGCTGCGCCGCCTCCTCCCGCCATCGCGAGCCCCTCCGCACCCAATCACGCACGCACCGCCGCAGCGGCTCGACGATCCGCAATCAGCGCCCTTCTTTTGCTATTCCTCGTGCCTTCTCAAATAAACCCAACGGCCCGCACGCCGGCCACCGTCGCAGAGCAGCGCCGCCACGCCGCGCGGAGATGCGAGGAAGAGCCCCAGCCCCCGGAGATGGCGCCGCAGTGGGCGGCGCAACCCACAACCACGTTACGCAACCGCCCCGGGCTAGCGCAACACCTCGACAACCCGCGGCCGCCAAGCATCAAGAAAAAAAAAACAAATCGATAAACCGGGCCGTCGACAAATCAGGAAAAGGGAAGAGGAGGCACCTGCCACGAGCATCAACGTTATACCGCATTTGCGAGGGCTTTTGTGCCTTCCCGCCGCGCAGAGGCACTGTTGGAGGCAGTGCCTCCCCAACTCGAGGAACAACTGCGCCAACTTCTTGGTGAAGCACAGATTCCCCACTTCCCAAGCGTCCACTCCATGTTTTTTCCCATGCGCCTGCGGAGCCGGGCAGCGGCGTAGGTGCGGAACAGTCTCCTCGCACAGTTCACGTTGGCCGGTTTTCGCGACGTCCGGTCGATGCCCGTGGCATGCCGTGCGGTGGCGGGCCAGTCCGTCACTGCTGTGGCGCTGAAAGCCGCATGTTGGACGGGGAAATTCGGGCGGTGCGGATTCCATCGGGGTGTCCTCGCCGGGCAGCGTGCGCCTTCTCGGCGGCCTGACCCTCTGGCGTCCTGGAATCGGCGACAGCGGGACGCTGATGCATGGATGTGCGCGTAACATTTTAGGCGCGCAGTGCGCTGTTCCTCGGTGGCATTCTCCTTCTGCGTGGAGGAGAAAGCCGCCCGAGGCAAAGTCACTGTGTGGGATTGGCCTTCTTTCCCTTGTGGTTCAAGCCGTGCGGCGCGTGCATTGTAGCTCCATTTTGGCGTCGTGACATTCTCATTCTCACCATCGGACAGATTGTGCCGGGCGTGGCTGGCCGAGGCTCCGGCACTGCTCGCCCGCCTGTCACATTGAGGGCATTCATGAAGTGTTGTGGCTCCTGGTGCCGGATGTGGCTCTGTTTCGGAGCGTTCGTGTGCGCGTGAATGGGATGGTAGTCCCGCCCTCGTTTGGGCCTTGAATCCACAGGGCGTGCACCGGAACGGGGTGGATGCAGCCAGATCGTCATATCCCCGAGGACGCCTCCTTCGTGACCCGGAGCGGTCCTGCTTGTGGCAGTGTCGGTGACGAAGTCTGAGTCCGGCTTTTTGGTCGGACGACGCCGAGCAGAGACTGCATGGGAATGGCTGCGGCCTGGGCTGCGTAGTCTGTGGCGGAGGTGCGGTCGGCGTGTCGTCTCTCGCTCTCGTCCCCGCTCAAGTGGTGGGTGGTGGTTCCGGTGGTATTCCTCGCCGTCCCAGGTTGCCAGCGGAAGTTGAATTTCCACAGCATCTGGGAGAGCGTAACGCCATGGGCGTTAACCGTGCGCATGACAACAATAGTGCGGCAACTGCAGTGCTTGCCGCACACCGGGCATTCTGCCGGGGCGTTGCACCGTGGCAGGGTGGAGTCCAGCGGGAGAAAAGGTTTCGTGCGAGTTTTTT